TTTATTATTATTTCGAAGTATTTAGTTCGTAATGGTTGGTTCTTTTCTTTATCATTTTTGTGTCGTTTTGCGGGATGGGGAGAAATGGGAATTCGACCTCACCCCGTTAATGAGAGAAGCAAGAATTCGGGCCTATAATTCTCAGGCCTACAATTTTCTTCCAAGCTCGGCCCATGGGTACACGCGGGGTAACTGTTGGCACCGAATGGTACTCCCTTTCTTGGCACTTGTGGAGATCAGCCTGTGTCGTGTTAAGCTGCCCTGTTGTGTGAGGTTCGTTTTTAACATGCAGCCGTATATCCAAGTGTAAACAAATGATAGGAGGAGAGGGTACACACGGCAGCCGTCGCATGTATTTTATTCCTTGAGGCCTCTTCCTGATGTGTAAAGCTGCCCAGATACTGTTAAAGCGTTTGTGGCCCATAAGTGTTCCCATATCAAAGATAAATAGACTCTATCACAGATCTTGAATATGCATGGCCGCCCCAAAGGCCTCGCAAGCAAAACAAAGAACGCTTCAGTGGCTAAGCCCGTGTGCCAGATTTCCTCGCCCGGTCCACTGCCTGGGCGTGCGGCAACAGGGCGAGCGAAGGAGGGGGGGGCCAGCGCTCGCCCGTGCCTCCGACGCGCTTATTATTCGCTCCTGGAAACTTCATTAAAGCCAATAGATGATTCAGGAGTGTTTACTTCATCATCTCACGTGTCACACGGCCCTGCATGGCGAAGGAGGGGGTCTGGGTCCTGGTGTTGAGGGACTCGGAGCGGGGTTGAGAGGGATTCTCGCGTACGATCTCTGCGTGGTCGTGTGTTATCTGGTAATTAAAAGATAAGGCGGTTAGGAAAATAAAATAGACAGGCCCAAAAAAAATGAAGGAAAAAAACAAAAGTCTCGGCTGCTGTACATATTTTTAGAGGGGTTTGTCTGTTTGTCGGTTAAGATAGGTCCACAAGAATGCTCGCTATTTGACAGCGACAAAAAGAATGTCTGGTTTGGGGGGGGGGGGGGGCACAGGAGGGAGCTGGTGATTCTGGCAGCCACAAACTGGCCAGGAGATCTCTCTCTCTTTCTCTCTCTCTCTGCTGTTTATTTTGGCTTTATATATTTTATATTTTAAAATATTTACGGACATAAGCATTGTTTGGTTGCCCTCTCAGTCTTCTTGATATTGTACTTTCTTTATCCCCTGATTCTATTATAATACCAACTGCGATACTATCTCATATATGGTGTTTGCAGTTGATTTTTGTTTGTGCAAAATGGCTATTCAGAAGTTTTGTTTTTTTCTTCGTCTAGT